CATGTTTTTGTGGAAAGCTAGATAGTCGTTATGTACCCGACAGTCGGCTGCCTTTATATTTTCACCTGTTTTCAGTTTGCATTCAAAGGGTACATTGCTGCACAGCCAACTCGGGGATATAGTACCTTCATATGACTGCTCATACGTATACAACAGAAAAAAACGTCGCATGGACTTAAGAAAAATGGAGATCTAAATGAAAAAACGATGTATTTCAGCAAGTATTAAAACATTTAGTTTTATTTTAGGCCTTCTTCAAAATACCTATGCCTACAGCAGTTGATTTTTTTTGCCGTAAAACCAAAATAGTTTCATCCATGCCAACTTTAAGGTCGGTTAGCGTGAGCCCTGACTGAACTCTGCAGAAACTTCACATCGATCGTAAAACAAAATGTCGGAAAACTTTTCTTTGACGCATGCGCATTTGCATAAATGTCTACACACGCACACACTACACACAATAAAAGACATAGGAAATAGCAAGAGTGATTACAATAGTTCCTATTGCATTACATGCATAGGAACTAAAAATGGCACTCAATTATAAAATTTAAAAAAATTTAAATACTGTAAAATACCCTGTAGCAAAATTTGAATTAATAAATCAACATAAACCATATGCATATTTGAGAACTAAAATAACATAGTTTTTAGCTCCTATGAGTAGCTCTAGGAGTACCCTGCTGATTGATTAATTAATAGATCTTTTTCGTATGGGCGGCTGTTAGGTCAAAGTATTTTTTTAAATTATTATTATTAGATATTATTACTATATTAATGATATTGATAAATCCCACTAACCTTCCAAAACACATTGTAGAAAACCAAACAATTCAATTGTGATTGACTCACTTGTTATATCAATAAGAAAATTAAATATTCATAGCAACCTATTTTTTTTGTTAAAATGTTGATTTTACCGGGGCCATTTTTACCAGTGCAGATCATTTCTTGTTATTGTCAGGATCATCTTTTTTTTTTTTATTCTTCTTTCTTTCTCTCCTTTTTTGTTCGCACAATATCTCGATAAATGTCACAAGATACGCTTAATAGCACTTTAAAAAGAACATTTGGCTTGGTCCGGAATAGACACGGTAAGCTTTTCAACACGTTCAGTCATGCGTGACGTCAACTACGCGCAATTTTGCATTTTTACATTATCGATCATATCAGCCTAACCAATTGCCATTTCGAAATAATATTAGGTGGGCATTAACTTCAGGTTAATGTTGAATGTACTGTACCCTAATTTTACGCTTGCGCTACATAACTGCGCGTACGCATGCGTCAAACTTTTGAAATGCTCAAAATCACTTTTTGAATAAATTAGAGCATGTTTTAGGCCATTCTTAGCATTTTAACATTTTGTAAAATTTTCCACTACGCGCACGCATTTTTACGCGCACAGCAGGTAAGGAAGATGAAAATTGTGGTTTTTTTTTACATGTTTTGGGTTCCAGACATTGTTTTCACAAATTTCCATTCTTTACGGTCATCTGATGGACAATATCAATGCCGTACGTGCGCACCAAACATAGGGATCTTTTCGCGCTTTTGTGCTGATATACAGTAAAATCAGGCCTATTTAGAATCAGATATAGCTCCTTAGGATGAATGGTGACCCCCAATTTTTATTACATATTCTGAAAGCACATGAGTTGTAGATAGTATTTATAGATCATAATGGCTGATCGGACATTGTGACGTCATCATTTTGCCATCTGAATTCAATAAACTGAATTATATCGATGACGTCATATTATAAAATACGCATTTGAGCATATCTCGCTTATCCTTGGGTGATCGTCTTCCAACTTTGAGTATGTTATAGCTGAGACAATTTTTTTTCATATATAAGTTCTTTTTACATTTTGATGACGTCATCATGGTCAAAATAAATGTTTTTGCTGACCCCCTCATCTTTATCTCCTCAAAAATATCTTAACCACATAATCATCTTAACCAGTTGTCATTTTTTAATCATATTTAGTAAGCATAAACTTCAGGTCAAGGTTGAATGTTATGTACCACAATTTTTTGTGCGTGCGTCTTAATGTGCGCGTACGTGTGCGAAACATTTTCTAAATGCTAAAAATCATAAATTTTTTTAATCAGTTATAGCTCCTTTGGATGAAAGGTGACCCCCAATTTTTATTACATATTCTGAAAGCACATGAGTTGTAGATATGATTTTATAGATCATTATGGCTGATCGGAGATTGTGACGTCATCATATTGCCATCTGAATTCAAAAAACTAAATTTTTATATATGGTAAATATTATGAATGATAATAAGTCCCTCACAAACAGGCGTTTGACAATGAGAGTTGATATATGTATCTCATATCATGAGTGAACATTTCGTGACATTACCATGCGCACGTGCGTCATGACGTGCGCGTACACATTAGTAAATCTTTTAAAATGCTTCAATTTCTTTTAAAAAAAAACTGAGTTAGCATATAATTTGGGCCATTTTCAGCATTTAAAAATTGTTCAATTCGCAACGCGCACACTTCCTCGAGGGTCAAAGTGCGGCGGATCACCTAACTCGTCCTCAGTGACGAGTTCAAATCTAGTTTAGAATTGTAATAATATTCTCATATTGAATTAAAAAACTATAAAAAATTATCAATTTCAATACCGTTCAGAACTTTTACCTGTTTCACAGGAAGAACCAGAGATACATGATGGACATGTACAATTGTAATTAGTACAGGAGCCATCAACAGCATTACACCAACCTCCATTCTGACAAAGATGGCCTCTACAAACACCTTGAGCTAATAGATAATATTTAAGAAAAATATAATTGAAATCAAGAAATTATAATATACACTAAACAAATAATGCTAAATAGCAAAATTATAATTATATTTTTAAAAGAATATTGTAATATAATATTGTACAAAAATTGTATATAGTACATATCACTCAATTGTAGGTAAAAATTGCCCCGGTAAAAATGGCCCAGGAATAAATGGCCCCGGTAAAAATGGCCCCAAATGACAAGTAGGTAAAAATGGCCCCAATGAAAAAATTCAGTAATAGAAATGATATTTTTTTTCAAATATAAATAATAATTTTTAAATACTATAATAAGCAAGAATTGAATCAATAAATAAAAAATGGCCTCAATTATAAAATAAAAAAAATAAAAAAATTTTAAGTGCTGTAAAATCCCCTGTAGCAAAAATTGAATTAATAAATCAACATAAACCATATGCATATTTGAGAACTAAAATAACATAGTTTTTAGCTCCTATGTGTAGCTCTAGGAGTACCCTGCTGATTAACTAATTAATAGATCTTTTTTGTATGGGTGGCTGTTAGGTCTAAGTACTTAATTATTATTATTAGATATTATTACTATAATAAAATTATTACTAAATCCCACAAACCTCCCAAAACACACTGTAGAAAACCAAACAATTCACTTGGTATATCAATAAGAAAATTAAATATTCATAAGAACCTATTTTTTGGCTAAAATGTTGATTTTTTTTTGTGAAAAAATACATGCAAATACACCACAAACCTCCAAACACACTACGAACCCCATCCAAACCCTTTAACTATGATTGTAAAACTCTCTTTTAAAAAAAAATAAAAAATAATAATTTGATGTTCATATCAACCCATTGTTTGTGGGGTTTACGAATACCCGGATTGAATTTCTGGAAAATTGTGATTCCGCTTCCGTGAAATTGGCCGCAAATAAATTATTTTAGTATTAATAAATGCATGATTTATGTTGATTTATTGATTATATGCTATTTTTTAACATTTTAATGGAAAAAAAATAAAAAGTGTTATTCATGGCTTTTTTTATTTTTGAATATTTTATCATTGAATATGTAATTCCTGCAAAAAGTAAAATGTAAATGGCAATTTATTTGATGTTAGATTCCTTTTAAAAACTAAACTATTTCAGTTAAAAAAATGCATATAATGATTTTTAAAAA